ATAATAATAATAATAATAATAATAATAATAATAATAATAATAATAATAATAATAATAATAATAATAATAAAGCGAGGCTGAAACCTAGTCTGGATTTACCATATGTACAGAATCAGAGTGATTAGCATTCACTGGCTGGAAAGCCTAAAGAGCTGCAACTAAAGGATGTAAACAGTACTGAGATAGTGAGGCCAGTGGTATATGGCACCTTCCAATGTCCTATATACCATACCTTTTGGCTTTGAGGTGTGTGCATGTGTGTAGCTGGAACACCCAAACCTTACCAGTAACATGAGGGCATTGTTTCCGGGAATGTCCAGAGATTGCTCCTTGCATGGCTACCTTTGGCAAAACTTGAGAATTAATATCTTTCAGGAAGCACGAAAACCTGATATTAAGGAAGAGACGGAGAGGGAGGGAGGGAGAGGAGCAAAAACAACAATAATGAAATGTTCCCACCCCCTTTTCTTTCCAGTGTCGAAATTTAATTGGGACAGAAAGCTGGGTTTTGTTTGTTTTGTTTTGTTTTCCTGTGTTACATTACAAATCTGGCATGTATATAAATCACAGCACGTACATATGTACAGTAGGACTGTGGTATCCACAGGGGATATACATATGTACAGTAGGACTGCGGTATTCACAGGGGATCAGTTCCAAGTCCCTCTGCAGATACTGAAAACCACGGATATGCAAATCTTATGTATAGCTGCAATTGTAGAAGAAGTAGCTATATTAGTCTGCTCAAGCATTATAAGTAAAAACGAAACAAAAAATGAAAGAACAACTGAAAAGACAAAAAAGTGGTGCCCTCTTAGAGACTGTTGTATTTTAATGTGAGCTTTGTGAGGGTGTAAGAACCTCTGTCATGAACAACAATGACAGAATAATATCAACGTGAATTATACTGAAGAGACTGGCCTTTTACGGTTGCTTTTTTTTTTTTTGCAAGCCTTTTAAATGTTATTGATGACAGAGGTTCTTCCATCCTTTACAGCACAAGTTTCAATGGAATATACCTGTATATAAAAGAGCCTATCAAGTCACTGTTAAATACTCATTGACTTTCTTACCAACCAACCATGAACTCTGTATTTGATGCCATGTATAAATATTTGTCATGGTATATCTCTCTCTTATGTCTGAGGAAGTGGGGTTATCCACAAAAGCTCACATTAAAATATAGCAGGTGGTCTCTAAGGCTCCATCACATTTTTGTCTTTTTAATTTGTTCTTTTTTAAAATAAAAAAACTTTTTATTTTTACCTATAATGTTTATATATGGAAGGGATTGTCACTCTCGAATTGTTCCAAGACCTCTATTCAGAACACGTTACCATAGTCTCTCGAGACTGAAGGTTGCCTACAACTTATATATACAGTATAGCAGGGATGGTAAAGTGTATTAGCCAATTTTGCCCCTACGTACGCCTGAGGTAGAAAGGGGAAGCTTGCTTTTCGTCTTCAGTGCTTTTGAGCCACTGCTAAGGCCATGAGGGGTGCGGAAGATGTCTGAATGGAGGTGAGGCAGCAGTGGCAACAATGGAAATGTGGGTGGGAGTGGGAACAACGAATCAGGAATGGAAATGCAGCAAAGAAGCAGAAGCTGAGCTGCAACAAGAACAACCACCCCAGGGATGAGAATGTGAGCAGCCTGCATAGTCTCTGGTTCCCTCTAGTGGCCAGTTTTGGCAATATACCTTGGAAACACATATTTCTGGTGTATGGATTTTATTTATTTAATATTTTCAGGCAGCAGATAACTGAAACTGTGGGTATTTATACCACAGATACAGGGGCTCTACTGTACCCAGTTCTGATAGACAGAAATGTGAATATTACCTTGTATTATTGTTTGCAAAGTTGCCTGGCAGATAGGAGAATACAAGACATCTTGGATGATAGGTGCATACTGTTCTGCAGTACTCCTCATCTGGAGTGTAAACCCTAGAAATATCTCCTCCTTGGATATATGTGTTTTTGTAGACCTGAGATATACATTCTGAGACCAGAGAAAAAGGCCAAATATTAACATGTGTTCACTTGCACTTGGAGGATTTTTAGGGCAATTTGTTTAATCTCAGCTATAACTCTCTCAGACATACAGGTTTGACAGTGGTGAAACCTGAAACCTGAAGGACACTGGTTGTAGGCCCACTTACCAGTAAATGTCAGCTAAATCTCTTCCCAGGCAAACCTTTTTGAGCCCAAGTGCCCAAAAATTCGCAATACAAAACAAACTTACTTGATTCAAAGTGCCAACACTGCAATTAAACCTGAATACTGAGGTTTTAGTTTAGAAAAAAAAACTGCCCTTGCGCTGCAAGGGTTAAACGCTTGTGTTTTTTCTAGGGGAAGTATTAACAGAGAAATACTTCCTAGTCCTCCATTGGGCTAGACTGGTAATGGACACCATTGCACCCCTCCACTGGACCACTGCACCAACAGAGGGGAGTGCTGAAATCCAGGGTTGGAGGACGGGTAAGTATTTCTCTATGGCGACTTATGGCTCGTGTGCCCACAGAGAGGGCTCTGTGTGCCAGCTGTGGCATGCATGCCATAGGTTCGCCATCACTAGGGTATTCCAGGAGTTGTGTTCTCAAAAAATAAGGTTTTCTGTCTCTCTCAAACCACTTACTGCAGCTTAATTCATAGGAAGAGTTGCAGATTAAAAGTTTTTGATGCTTTCCACAAAGATCTTTTCAACTTAATGATTTTTGTATTATTTTCACATCACAACTTATGTACAAAGGTGATTTGGGGGGCTCATTTTATGCCTCTGGCTTCAGGTGATGACATTGCTAGTTATGGCTCTACAAGCGGGTCCTACTCAGCAGAGTCGTTCTGCCGGCAGCTTGCCCATTTGGCCAGTCTTTGAGATCAGCTGGCAGAAGATGGTTCTGCTGAAAGAGGATTTCTGCTCTTTCACAATCATTTAGACTTGAGCCTAATTCTCACCTCCCACAGCTGGTGCATCTGTGAGTGATGATTGCACTATCCCAGGGAAGATTTAGGGTTGCCTGACTGCCCTGACAATTAAACATGCAGAATGTTGGATTCCCCATATCACAAAGTACATATTGTTAGGTAGAAAAACTGCATTGCTCTGTCTCATTAGATTGTTTGGGCAAAGGTCAATGCTTAGGCGTACATTTTCACAAAGCATCCTATATAAATAAGAAGTAACAGTTTATGTACAAGATACTTACCACTGTAGACTGAAGAAAACAACATAATGAAAGACAGTGTTTGAGAAATCCAAGCCATCCTTTAAAAAAGGCAATGACATATTTTAATTACCATTTTTAAAGTGTCTGGAGCCTTTACTTATATATTTATTTATTATTTATTTTTCTTATATTATTTATATGATGCCTCTCTCTCCATAGAGGACCCAAGGTGACTCACAACACATAAAACAACAGATTTTAAAACACTATATAATGATCATATAAATACAATCTTTAAAATATAATTAAACATATATTAAGATTTTAAAAATCAAGTTTATTAGCAGAATTGCCTGATGAATTTAACTAAATGGGCATTAAAACTGCCAATAATATTGCTTAGTAATTTAAAGAATTTTATGTATAAAGTTTTCTTATATAAAAAGGAAACTTCTCCTGCTGTCATTTAAATAAGCAATCTGCTTAGAACTAGTGATACAAAAAAAAAAAGATTCAACTTAGCATGTTTAGTCAATGAAATAATTTCTTGTTTTGCCTCTTCCAATAACTCAATTCTTTCCATGATTCCTCAAAAGATGCATATGGACTTGTGAATAAATCACACTGAACACAAAAGAGTTTACGTCTGGGAGTGTATGAAGAGCTATGCAGGTCAATTCTGTGGATGTTTGCTCAGAAATATACTGTGTTATGTAAAACTGGACTCACTTCCTAGTAAGTGGATTCAGGATTCGTTTAGACTCTGATCTTGAATCTCAGTTGCACATAGTGTGTGTTTATCAGTTTAATTGTAAGCAAAACTGAAGTACATTCTCTGACCTGTGAAGCAAAGGTTACTTTAGTCTCAACAGATTGTGCCTGAAATCCAATAATAAGTAGCAGCTAGAGTAATCCCACTGAATCAGTGGGGATCTCAACAGACTGTGCCTGAAATCCAATAATAAGTAGCAACTAGAGTAATCCCACTGAATCATTGGGGATTTAGTGACTCAACTCCTCTGTAACTTATAGTAAACCTACTCTAGCTGTGATTTACTACTAGATTTTAGCTTATGTATCAATGACACAAAAAAGATTTTCTTATAATCTATATGATCTACTTCCTATAAAATACTATAAAACTGTGCCTGAAATCCAATAATAAGTAGCAACTAGAGTAATCCCACTGAATCATTGGGGATTTAGTGACTCAACTCCTCTGTAACTTATAGTAAACCTACTCTAGCTGTGATTTACTACTAGATTTTAGCTTATGTATCAATGACACAAAAAAGATTTTCTTATAATCTATATGATCTACTTCCTATAAAATACTATAAAACCGTGCTTTTACATTTACCTAGTATTTTGCATTACTGTATAGCAAAGGATGGGGAAATAAATTAATTTCACTGTCATGTAGATTACCTGTTACTTAAATCCCATTCCATGTCTGCATTAATCTGCTTAATTTAAATGTACAAACATCACATTTAAAGATGTATTTCCTAAAGTAGGTACTCTTCATGCACTTTTAAATCTGTTATTTTTGTCTTGGAAATATGCTTATCCTTTTACAATGAAATGTATTCAAAGTTTAAACAGATTTGGTTGTTGTGGGTTTTCTGGGCTGTTTGGCCGTGTTCTTAAGCTTTTTCTTCTTTTTTGTTGAAGCTCTTCTGGTGTTTGTGGATTTCAATGGCTTCCCTGTGCCTAACATAATGATTGCTGGTGTTGTCCAGTACTTCAGTATTTTGAAATAGAATTTCATGTCCAGCTTGTTTTAAGGCATGTTCAGCTACTCCCATTTTTCACCTCAACAAAGCCTGGCTCCCAGCACTGAAAAATACAGCCTGCAAAAGGACAATGAACTCTACCCAACTACAAGGACCAGTGATCACTGCGCACAAAAGACCAGCTAACGACACCCATCAATCACAGTGATAGATCGTCTCTTCCCCCTGATCACAAAAATACACCCACAAGAAAAACACGCTGATCACCATAATCATCCAATCTCCTGAAAAGGAAAAAAGCTGTTCCCACAGCTATAAATACTCAAGTATCCATCAAACTGCAACATAGCACAGACAGAGTTCTGACTCCTGTCCTCTGAAGGTACCTGACACAGAGACTGGCAAAACTTTAGGAAGAAAAACCTTAAGAACACAGCCAAACAGCCCAGAAAACCCACAACAACCATCAGATCCCGGCCATGAAAGCCTTCAAGAATACATTAAATAGATTTACTGCTGGGTTTCACTTAGATAAAAATGCCTCTGCACAGTTCTTCACTGGTCTACTTAAAAGTTTGTTGCAGTGTTTCCCACAGTACTTAACTCCCATGGAAGTGCATTTAGGATTGCTTCGGTACAGATAAGCAGGGTAGAATTGGTTTATGAGTTCATGAGTTTTACTGATTGACCTGTCAGTTAAATTTGGATATCTAAAAACAGTTCAAAAGTTTAAAAGTACACTTTTCTGGCTTTTCATATGGTGCACCCATATGATCAAAGGCATCGTGTTAAGGAGAGAACAAAGCAAGACTTCTTTCAATTAAAAAAAATTGTTAACCAATTATTTGGGAATGTTTCTATAGTCAATTAAACATTTTTAAAAGAATCAATAAATCTAACAGATTAATTGATTAAATACTGAAACTCTTGTAATACATTATATGCATTATTCTGTAATTCTGTAGGTAATCTTAACCAACACCAGATGCTTCACAGGAAAGCCATGCAGTAAATTCAAATTTATCTTTCGTTGAAAAGGAATGCCCACTATATAAAGGAGGTTTATTACCTTGAAGTTGCCATGCGAGTTGAAACGTTTCTGCTTGAACAGAGGAAATGTGGTGTGCCAAAAAAGGAGGGGTGGGGGTGGGGGACAGGTACTAAACAGAAAAAAAAAAAGAGGATTATTCCATGTTGGCCTTTCATGCCAATGTTTCTCCACTTGGGATATTTACCTTTGAAGAAAGCTCGCAGCGTAAACATTGCTTCTGCAATGTTCTGGTGGGGGAAGGGGAGAGATGTACAAATGGCTGATAATGGCAGAGTTTCAAGAACAGAAAAAGACAACCTTTTCACCAATTTATAATAGTTAGGACACCCTGGTGTTTCTCATGGGAATTGCATGGGATAGGAAAGGGAAGCTTCAATTTGTGCAACAAGGGTGGGAAACCTGGAGGGGGGCAGGTGTTGTTGGAATTCAGCTGCCATCCCCACCAACCAGCAAATCCAAAGACCACATCTAGAACAGCCCCCCCCATACCATGAATACGCAAAATATATCCCTCGTTTTCATATTTAGCTGCAAATGAACCTGTGTGGTCTGTACACATGAAGGGGAAACTATCATTTTTTGTCTTGCAAACTCAAGGCTATGGCTTCCTTCAGAGATTTAATCCATTCTTGCTCTGTCTTCCTCTTTTTTTTCAGCCTCTAACTCTTCCCAGCATTTCTGCCTTTCTCAGAGTGTTGTCTTCCCATGACAGGTGCAATTTAATCATTGCCAGTTCTAGAGAGAGTCCAGGTTTATTTCTATCAAGAAATTTATTTTACCTAAAACCCACTTATTTGTTCTACTGTTGGCTTACAATATCTGCAAAGCTTTCCTTCAGCACCACATTTCACACAAGTCAATTTTTTCCTTTATGTTTTCTTTACTGTTCAGCTTTCATAGTAATCAGAATGCACCATTATGTTTCCAGCAATGCATCCTTACACTTAGCTCTTTTCTAGTCCCTTCATTGCAACCCTTCTAAATCTTAGTCTTCTTTCAATTGCTTTCCAACAACCCCCATTTGGATTCATGACTGAACAGAAAACACAGAAAATCCTGAACTATTTTGATTTTTTCATTCAACACTGAAGTTATGTAATTCTGTACATGTGAGTTTTGTACTCCTAAATGTTCAACTGTAATCCTGATCCCACACTTTCTTCTTTATCCTTTCATTAATCATCATTTTAGGTTAAATGTAATCTAGTAGTAGTAGTAGTAGCAGCAGCAACAGCATTTATTTTGCAGCCACAGACCCAATAGGAGTAACCTAGTGAGAAGACTTCCTGGAAAAGACCCTGAAGTTGAGAAAGTGTGAAGGCAAGAGGAGAAAGGGATGACAGAGGACCATATGGCTGGACAATATCATTGGAGCTACCAGCATGAATTTGACCAAACTTCGGAAGGCAGTGGAAGACAGGACGGCCTGGCGTGCTCTAGCCCATGGGGTCATGAAGAGTCAGACACGACTTAACAACTAAACAACAACAATAAAGTGAGAAATGTCAGATTACTCATAAGCATGTTTGAACTTGCTTATGAGTTCAAATGTAGGTTGCAGAGAAAAGGTGAAATGTCATAGAAATATTCTGCCCTAGTGATGATTCTATAATAACTACAGTCTTTGGTGTCTCTTTTCCTTGGCACTGGAATGTAAATTAAGTATTTCTAGTCGGTGTACTGTTGTTTTGTCTTCCTTATTTGTTGGCATATTCTTGCTAAAATTTTGGTTTCCACAGCATGAAATGACTTTCCCATCTACTCCTGGTAATTTATCTTTTCCTACCTCTTTGAAAGCAGCTTTCATTTCACTTTTAAAAACTTACAGATCCTCATCAAGAGGTTCTTTGAAGGAATCTGTTGTTCTTATATCTCTTCTGTATCTTCAGTAAATTATCTCCATCTTCTCTTTATTTTGTCGCTCTCATATAATATATTCTCCTAAGAAACTTTCAGTATCCCTTATCTTGGTTTCAATTTCCTTTTGATTTCTTGCATATTATGGAAGAGACCTCTGGTTTTTCTTTTGTTCTCTCTTTTGGCAGTGATTATTATAACAAGGACCTTTGTCTCTATGAGCCAGTTGCTGAAAAGTTGCACCTAGGATCCTGCTTCTGTTTCTATAAGCTTCTACTTCTGCCATTCTCCTGTTAACAATTTTAGGTATTTCACCAGTCATCTATCAAGGCTTATATTTTACCTATAGGAATTGTCTTTTTGCTTACTCCCTTGTAATATAGATCCACAGAACTGTAGAGCTGAAAGTGACCCCGAGTGTCATTGAGCAGGAAAACCTCAAATAAACCATGCTTGGCAATTGTCCAACTAAACTCTTTCTAAAAACAATATAATTGTTAAAATTTTGATGTTTAAATGTTTTTAATGATGTTGTTTGCTATGTTTTTATGTATGTAAGCCGCCCTAAGTAGACCTTGTCTAGGGGGGCAGGGTAAAAATCTAATAAAAGTAAAGTAAAAAAGTAAAAACTTCCAATGGTGGAGGGCCCCCAAGCTCTGAGGGAGCCCATTCCATGGTCACTCTTACTGTGCTTCCTAATCCTGCATTGAAACTTTCAACGGAGGATTATCTACAGATGGAGAAAGATGGACAAACTATCTTTCTCCTGATCTGAATCCATTGTTACACACCATACCCTCTTGAGCTGCAGAAAACCATGGGTGAGCACTGGCCGGGTACAGAACATCAACCAGGAATACAATATGGAGATCGTAATATTACTGGCTAACATTAATCATAAGGGCTTGGATGCTAAGATTTATGCATTATGCATGTGTTAATTAATACATTTATATGGTAATGTAAGGAGGAACAAAGAGGTCTTGAGAAGAATTTGAATTTACTATTTGAGACAAAAAAACCTGAAAAGATTGTGGAGTGTTGTTGTTTTTTTTAAACAGACTTTTAAATCAATTTCAGCATCTGTAGGAGACCATTGCCTTAAAATGGTACATTGTATTACATTCCTCTCAAACTGACCTACAAAAACAAAATCTGGATCCAAATTGTTGGAGAGGGTGCAAAGCACTTGGTACATATTTAATTTCTGGGTAAGGATAATAGCACGTAATTGGAAAGATAACATCAAAAATATTTATATTAACCATGGTATTGGGACTGATTAATGCATCAGTACATCAGGTGTTAATCGGTTTTCTATGTATAGCAGCTAGACAAACAACGGCTAAATCTTGGGAAGTTTATGTATGGCAAGGCAACCCTGTGAGTGAGTGATCCCCAAAATGTCCTGTCCTCAACATCCCTGTGCAGCTCTTGTGAACTCATAGCTGTGATATCTTTAGGGAGTCAGTCCATTTCATATTTGGTCTTCTTCTTTTCCTCCTGCCCTCAACTGTTCTCAGCATTATAGTTTTTTCCAGGGAATCTTCCCTTCTCATGAACTGCCCAAAGTTGACAGCCTCAGTTTTCATCATATATGTCCAGTTCAGCCTTGATTTGCTCTAGGTCCCATTTGTTCATCTGATGGTCCAGCACCAACTTTTAAATGAATCAGTTTTTCTATCTCACCATTTCCTCCTTCCAATTACATAGTCTATTTGATTTCTATAATGGTCATCTGGTGATGTCCACATATAGTTAGTTGTCTGCTCATTCACTTGAAGTGTTTATTTGCAATTAACAGATTGTTGGCTTCACAGAACAGGAGTTGTTCTCCTGCTTCATTTCTGACCTCTAGACCAAATTTCCTGGGGGAGGGGGAGAGGCCACATATATACAAACAGCATACTAACTACATTGCATATGGTGATATACACTCAATGTGATTACATCACAAAACATTCTAGGCGTACAAATTGCTTAATCAACTTCCACGTTTTTCTGCTGTCCCAATGAGATCAATTACAGGAAGCCATGAGTCTCTAAGTCTTTGCCCTTTCTTCTGGTTAACCACTTAACCAGTTAAGTGAGAAGATATGTTCATCAACACAATCACATTGTTGTGAACTTCTTCTAATATTTCTCCGATAAAGTTAGAGGATAAGAAATTATAAACAGACAAAATGACACAGAGAATAATATTTAAGCAGTAGAATTTATTGCCACAAGATATGATAGCCACATTGTTGTGAACTTCTTCTAATATTTCTCCGATAAAGTTAGAGGATAAGAAATTATAGACAAAACGACACAGAGAACAATATTTAAGCTGTAGAATTTATTGCCACAAGATATGATAGCCAGCAGCATAGGTTTTTAGACGAGATCAGACAAATGTATGATGAATAAAGTGGCCAATAGTTACTAGGGCTGAGATTTTGTGATTTTCTGGTATCATAACTTTCTATTCTGGGAGTTCTACCTGCCTTACAGGCACTTTGCAAGCACCAGTACGTGAGGAACCTGCAAGAAAAGGTTAAATTGGAAGGTTCTGAGGCTTACCTAGGCCATCCTCTAACAAAGTGTTTCATTTCTGCCTCCATGCAAGCTTTCTAAGCAAGACACTTGGACAGAACCCCCAGAAGGGAGAACTATCATACGTGTAGGTCAAAAAATCCAAAAATCCCAGCTATAATGGTTACTAGTCACCAGGGCTATATATTACCAGCAGTAGAGCACCATCCTCTGAATATTTCTTGATTGGGAAAAGCAGCAGGAGAGGTTATTAGCCTCTGGACCTGCTTTTGGGCCATGTAGAGCAATATAGTAATCACTCTAGGAAACAATGATGAACAGAGTACGATTTTGGTGCAGTTCAACAAGCCTCTTCCTGTGTTCTGCTTCTTAGGCAGGATTAGCTAAGGAATGTTGAATTCCAAAACGTTTGATCTATTCCAATGAATAGCAATTATGCTTTTATGCAAAATGCATTTGGTATCAAGACACATGGTGATCAATAGTATTATGCAACCAAGAACTCTGACAAATTTGTTATGCAACAATCATGTATTTGTCTCTCAAATAGAATGCCACAGTGGTGCCTCGCTAGACGATGATAATCCGTTCCATTAAAATCGCTGTTTAGCGAAATCATTGTCTAGCGAAAAGCATTTCCCTCTTGGAATACATTGAAACCTGTTTGATGCGTTCCAATGGGGAAGAGCCTCGTGGCGCAGTGGTTAAAAACGCTGTACTGCAGCTAAAACTGTGCTCACGACCTGGGGTTCAAATCCCAGGTAGCCGGCTCAAGGTTGACTCAGCCTTCCATCCTTCCGAGGTCGGTAAAATGAGTACCCAGCTTGCTGGGGGGGCAATGTGTAGCCTGTATAAT